CGTCGAAAGTTAATTGAATAATGGCTGAATAATGGGCAGAGAGAGGAGATGAAGAAGGAGCTGGAGGCGAGAAGATTATTACCTTTGTTGAAGAACATGGAGGCCATCTGACCCATCTCCACCCGCTCCATGATGTCAAAATGATCGGCCTGCCCCGACCTCTCTGTGAAGACAGGAAGCAGACGACGAGAGTAAAGACACCACGTGCTAGGAGTCAGATAAGCCCAGACATACAGACAAGAATACACACACATATATATATAATATATATAATCAAGTGTTTTTATGCTTGATTTAAAATGTGCTACAAATTTACTACATTTATTTAAAGAATTCACATTAAAGCATTTTAACAAATGTAACTTTTTCTCAGGAAATGCCAGAAATGATGATAATTATACTCAGAGGCTGTTCCACCTTGTTTCATTTGCCAAATTGTGAAAATCTGAAAAATATTTAATATAAAAATCGCATAAAACGGACAATTTTTTACATTTTTGTTTGATAAATGACAAAGAATAAAATCAGCCAGTCATTGGCGCACTTGCTTGAGATGCCATGTCTCTAATGTTTGATGTGAATATTAACTTGTCTGTAGCTGCACTGCTGTCATGTGACTTGCTGATTGGCTACATGAGTAAGAGGAGCCTGAGCCGGCACACCTCGACTTCAGAGCCTGGATCCAGAGCACGATGAGTTTGTGATATATTAAGATGACGTCTCACAGTTCTTCATTTCTGAATTTTACGTGCATTTGTGAACACTTCCTGCAAAATGAGCAATTTTGCCCAATTGCTTAAAGGTAAACTGTGCTAAGCAAGCCGTGCACATACATCTGTAACGTGAGCGTATTTGTAGAGGTGAAACCTTACAATGAGAGAGAAAGCCTGAACTAGAGCGAGAGAGCGACACTCACGAACAGACAAGATGGGCCTCGTCTCCGGCTCCGATCGACCCCGGCACGTGACCTCGTCGTCGTCTGAATACTCGGACGTGGAGTCGCTGTTCTCAACCTGTTGAGGACGACAGGAGGAAAGTGTGACTTCCTGTTTTCCTCATTTCTAAACACAAACAAACAATCAGCAATCAGCTGCAGCAGAGGAAGGTAACATCTGGAAACTACAAGCAGCAGCTGGGAAACCCCGTGGAGGACGGAGGCAATCGTGTGCCCACAGAGTCTCTGCAGATTAGCGTCAATTAGGTGTCAGTGATGGTCAGATCTGTGCGTGAATGATGAGCTACATGGCCCGCCTTACAGCGCCAATCACAGTTTAACTAAGAGTTCAACAAACACCAGACTGCAGGATGTGAACCCGCCTCCATCTGTGACATTTTGTATTATTAAGTTATGATTTATCTTTGGACAAAACCAGCACGCTTCCTTTTAAAAAATGGTAAATTCGTTTCTTGGACTCCAGCCTTGATTTTAGCCTCAGCTCACAGGTTTTAGGCTGTTTTCACACCGACACACTTTGTTTGCTCAGGTTCAAATCAGTGATTTTTGTAAAAAGTCGTTTTTCCTGTGGTTTAATTTGTTTTCATACAAAAAAAAAATCTCCAAGTAAGCCATTTAATGTGCCTATTGGTCAGATGTGTCAGGGGCAACACGAGTAAATACAGGAAGGAGGACAGAGACCACAGTCTGCACCCGAGTGTAATAACCGTGTTCACAGATTATAGCATCACTCGGACCACCTGACCCTCCTCCTGATGGCTCCCAGATCTTAAAATTAAAACAAAAGGAGGGTCACATGTTTTTCGGTAACCACCTCAAAGCTTTTAAACATCCCACATCACTCAAACTGCAATTCAGATAAATTAAAGACAACCACAAACATAAAATATACATGAAACAAAAGCAGACTGGATAAAAGGCATCGTGTAATGGATAAAAACGGGTGCAGTCACAGTGCTAACTGTGCTGATTTAAAACGATTAACTGGGATCCGTTTCTCTAACTTTAACAGCTTCTGCAGATTGTGTAAAAAAGAATCTGTTTCAACATTAACCTGATGATTTTCAATAGTCAGTCCAAACATTTATTATCCTTCCTGAAACTCTGAACACTGACATGTTAATTCAGTTACATTCCTCCTAAAACACCAGCAGAGGGCAGTCATGTCTCCCAAGCACCATTTAATCAGAACATCAAGCGTCTGAAGATGGAAGGTGACCCGTTACCTGTCACAGACCCTCCAGGCAGGCCTGTACGCCTCCCATACTAAACCAGATCACTCCTGCTGGGAGCTCCTCTTTAATACCTCAGGTAATAAAAAGTAACTGATTGATAATAGCTGGTGCTGTCTGACAGTTTTCTTTGCCTTGAAAATTAATCCCTTTGAATACTTAAATCTTCAGACAAAAAAAGAAATTTAAAATGAAACCCTTTTGAGGGTTTCACAATTTAGCCTCCAGTGCACTGCCAGACTGCCAAGCCCTGCTGGTGAATCATTTTAAGCTTTGGTATTGAACTGGTATTTAATGGCAGTTGGTGGGAGCACAGGTAGATTCAAGCAACAACATTTTTGTGTGGAAATATTTTGGTGTAGCGCCACAAAAGAGCCGTGTCCTCAAAAACTGTCCTTCAAACTCAGTCCTTCTCAAATACATAAAACACTTTAACCCACAAAGTCACAGTGACGACAGGTGCTGCGTACGCGTCGTCATATTTCCTCGTCTTAGCTTTCGGGAGACATTCGTTTGTCCCGTTATCACTCTCTCTCCGCCTTTCTTTTCCTCACTGTTAAATATTTTTTTCCAGAGTTTGTTTACTGCACTTCATATCTCCTGCTCTGTGCTGTGTGTGTGCACGTGCTCAGTGCAAAAAACCCTGCCACCTACTGGAGCGGATGTGCAATCACACTATTCTAG